TTATGTTTTTGGTCCCAAATATCGATCTGCACCTCTAGCCATGCCACATATGTCTGGTCCATCCTGGAACGATCATCTCGCTGGTAATGTGTCATATGCCAAGCGGGCAGTGGCAGTACAAGCTGCGAGCGACCAAACTGGCGAAGTACTCGCTCGGTGGCATGATGCTCGACAATATCGAGACACATCAACGGGACGGAAGAACTCCACATAATTCGGCCGGTGAAGCAATAATCGGGCAAACCAGCTATTAGCTCGTCGCTGTATGGCCTCCAAATGAACTATTAAGTAAAAATATGAAACGTGAGTATACGCAACACATATAAAGCCAGGCCAAGTAAACTTAGGTATACATTTACATGTACGCTCTCCAGCAAATCCAACAAATCCCTGCGGGGAGATTATGTCGAGCCTCGTACTCCCGTCCATATCCTTGCCTATCAACCCACCTCCTAGCTAAAGGGAGAAATGGAGGTGGTGTATTCGGAGCTAAGGGCGTAGAGGTGGCTGCAGCTGCAGGAACCGCTCTCAGGCCCAAACCTAATATGCAACGTGGACGTAAAATTTAAGGTATATTTTTACTAGGTATGTTATAATGAAGAGAGCATTCGACTACGTTTTCACCTGCAGCAGCGGCAAAAATCCTGCAACGTCTCGCTGGGTGCCCATGCTCGCCCGGCATATCTACCTGTACAAGTAACCGAGAACAGCAGCACCCCAGATGTAATGATGTAAATCATCTAGCCGCTCAAGATGATGAAGAAATCTCAAGCTGACTAGGTTTCCCGAAGTGTTCGGGAACAAAACCCCTCCAAACATAAGTAGCAACAACAATAACAACAACCTCGTGTACCAGTGAAAATGAAGCTCCAATGTATCATCTATGATGTCAGCATACATCGCCTCCAAATGTTGTCAGACGGGCGTCAATTGCAGACGACTAGCCCCAATCAATGCAGTCTCATTCGGTGGCTGGAAACCGGTGAGCCGCTGCAGCATCTCCAGGTACTGCAAACCTCTATACTCTCTGATGGCATTCGGCAAAGTAACAGGGTGTCCATCAACGGGCATCCCATACAGGACCTCCACGTCCTGAAGCGTGATAGTGGCCTCGCCAATGGGCAAATGGAATGTGTGCGTCTCCGATCGCCATCGCTCTATCAGAGCCGTGATCAATGACCAATCCAGTTGCAGCCGGCCGATCTCCACAATCCTATAAAAATACGTATCCTGGAGGCGTCTGACTATACGAGGATGATGATGGTGGGCCCTAATAAAGTCCCTCATATCATCTACTCTCCTAGCGCGGAACGTCTAGGTCAGTAACTGTCCCTCTCATATGTGGGAAGACCTATGCTCGGCCTGTAGCAACAGTAGCTCTAGCGAGGCAGGTCCGGGATGCAAAGGCGGAACCTCCATGTCGACTACTGTAAATTGAACAATATTAATTACATTACTTTTCTTTTTCATTGCTTAAATATATTGCAATACCTTCAGTATTATAATTTTATATGTTATTGTTACTATATTGTTAATTAGGTTGATACATTTTTAATATTATAATTTTATATTTTATATGTTACTTTAATATGTTAGTTTTATTATTTTACATGTTAGTTTTATTATTTTATATGTTTGTTTGTTACTCACCTATTTTTTACTATAATAAAATTAAATAATTAATTTTCATAATTATACAAGATTTAATTATTAAATATTCACATATTGGTTGAGGCCCAGTAGCACCAAGGTATCCTGAATTCTTATGTTCATGATGAGAAAAATTTCCGATTTATCACTCAACAGGTCTGTTATTTTAAATGTTAGTGTATTATTGTATATGTTAGTTTTATTAATTTATATGTTAGTTTTATTATTTTATATTTTTATTTATGACTCGCTTATTTTTTACTATAATAAAATTAAATAATTAATTTTCATAACTATACAGGATTTAATTTTGACAAATATTGTTATTTTCTCATGTTATTTTCTTACGTTTGTTGACTAGAATTGAAGAGCGTTTGTGTTTGAACTATCAGCTTTTTTGACGTATTTTTGGGTGTAAGAGATACTTAAATTATTAGTTTCAATAATTATAAGGATACTGCGCTAAAGGGCACTACATTTACTACGCTAAAAGGGCACTACATTACAAATAGGAGCACTACATTAGGCCACAAGATACCACTACAGGAAACTAAAGTAACAATTTATCTATTTTACTAGTCTTTAAGCAAATAAATAATCTAAATCGGATAAAAATAAAAAATAAATTTAATCACAAAACAATCACGAAAATACATATACCACAGTAAAAAATAACTAATTAACATTTGTTTTAACAACTAATAATATTTTTTCTATTTTACTATTTTTTTAGCACAATAATACTATAGTCCGGATAAAAAATAACAAATTAGTCAAATCACAAAACAATCATAAAATAACATAGAGCACATTAAAAATAACTAATATGCATTTTTATACGAGTTTTAACAAAAACTAAGTCGGAATAATTCGATTTAAAGATTTTAAAAAATTGAAGATTTGGTGATTTGGAGCCTAAACAAGCAACCCACTCCGAGATAACGTCTTAGCTAGGACGTGGGACCGAGAATCTACACTTTTTGTGGGACCGGTGGGCTCCACTCGAGCTTTTTTTGATTAAAAATGGGGGGACCACTATTGGATTTTTAATTTTGGGGGGGGGGGGGGAGGACGATTCTATTCTGTGGGGAAGGGGAAAGGGACGACCTTTATATATGTATAGCGCCCTTTATTAAGACGTTATAGTATAGCGTCTTAATAAGGGCACTATACATTCCTGATTTTTTTGCATTCAAATATAGCGCCTTTTAAAAGGGCGCTATACTTAACTAGGCAAACGACCGTTAAGGTATAGCGCCCTTTAAAAAGGCGTTATATATAAAATTGTCACTAAGTTTTTTTTCTATATATTTTGGTTATTTGAGTCCAAAAGAACCACATTTTGGTTCCGGACTCGAGGTAGGTGCATTTACTAAAAGTCCGACACTTCACCTCTTAGAATTGGACTCGTGTTACATTTAAGTATTGAGGTTGTACCTAGTCCAAGTTTGTTGTAAATGTGTTGGTAATGGTACAGACTAGAATGTCCGTGTCTAAATCTGCTTCAATCAGTTCAACTAACCAGTATTAAAGTTCCCTGTGTACTCTTTGCCCCAGGCACCTTTATAAAATTTGTCTTAATTCCTTCTTCAATAATCTATTTATTTTGCTGATCAACTAATTTTGTCTTTGCATGTGGTAGAGAAGAATAATGAAAAAAGAAAAGAGAGGTAAAAGAAAGATAGAGCAGGTTAACTGACCACGAAAAAAAGCTATTTTATTCTTGAGTATTTAAAGGATTTAGCATCATTAAAGTACAGTTGTTTGAAATACACTGGAACCTTAACAACAACAACAACAGCATAGGTTAACCCACGGCTAAGCGACTTATGTCAAAGAAAGAAACTCCATATGCCTAAAATTGAGGAAAGGAGATTTGCCTCGAACTCACACGCAATTGGACATGAAGCTTTAACAATAAGAATAAGGTAGCGTCACAGATAATTTGGTGGCCGGCTAATAAATTAGATATGACTTTGTGACTAACAAACGATGATGTGGGAGTCTGAAAATTAAGATATAAAAACATATTCGTGTTTACATTAAATTAAATTAATAAATGTAACATGGTTGTTTTTCGTACATATATAATATAGCGATCAATTATCACGATTATGTGATATTTATTATTACATTAATTTTTAATTATTTGACTTCATATAAATATCGAATGAAGGGAAAATCAAAATGACAGCCCATTCCTATGAGCTTCTTTTGTCAAAAGTATTGATTAGCTTTGCATTGGATCATGACCCCACTTCCCTATGTCTTCTTTTGCCTCAACCTCCAACTATTCTTTGACTTATTCTCCGCTTCATTTCTTTTAATGTTTCGTTTGGTGAATCTATTTCCTAGCAAACCTTGCCATGAATTATTGGCATTTAAAATATATACTACTTCCATAAATTCCAAAACTATTGGCAACTCCAGAATTACTCTCAATATTTCCTCTACTGAATTTAGTGTCCCTTTGCATTGGAAGAAAACTCGTGAGTTAGGAAGAGGGGGGAAGGGTAATTTTTGGACCTAATAATATATTGTGATTGTTAGTACATTATTTTAGGACAAGATCCTCAATTCTTATGATTCTATACTCGCAATAATCATAACGATCTCTCGTACAATCTTACAATGGTATGTTTTGATAAATTTATTTAAATCTTTTAAATTATAATTATATCGTGTTTGTTTCATTTTAACATTAGTCATTTTATTGTTGTTGTTTAATTAGTGTAGGTTTGGATATAACGGCATCACTTGTACTATCTAATCTACCCTGACGAATTGAATGCAAAACTAGCTAGAATTTGAAAAATGACAGCTTTTCTTATATGGAATAAATTTGAGTCTTTTTCCTATATTCTAAGTACAAGTAAACTTGAAGATGCAAATATGGTTTTGAAACTAGAGGACCAATTAATTGACAATGTCATAGGCATGGACGATTCCATCCACACAAAATTTATCCCGAGATTGATTTGCCTACTAGAGGTCGATCCAAGTGAAGTCGAGTCTAATCGAGCATATATCAGGTTCAATCAAGTTCCATTTTTTTTTTTTTTACTTTTTTTTTTCTTAAATAGAATAGGAAAAATTGTCAAATTTGCTACTACTATATTGTCTTAAATTGAGTAAACTTTTTTACTAGAGGTCGATCCAAGTGAAGTCGAGTCTAATCGAGCATATATCAGGTTCAATCAAGTTCCATTATTTTTTTTTTTTACTTTTTTATTTTTCTTAAATAGAATAGGAAAAATTGTCAAATTTGCTACTACTATATTGTCTTAAATTGAGTAAACTTTTTTCTACGTTAAATTTTTGGAACTTCAAATCATACTTAAAAGTTAGAGAGGTAAAATTAGACTTTTTTCTCAAAAAATATGGACACGTGGAGTCTATCAAGTTCACGCCGGAGCTCTTCTAATGCGAAGGGAAAATTTGAGAGGATTTGCTAATGCCAAGAGTATGTATAGAGCAAAATACAAATAAGGACGTACAAGACAAATTTGAACCTTTTCGCATAAAATCGCACTTTTAATTCAAGAAATAGAAAGAAAATTCAAAGGATCATCCTTGTGCTGGAATATTTCATGCGTAAACAAGACAAAAGTGTTTTCCTCATTTCTTGTTGGGGTGTTGTCCATTGTCAAAATTCTCTCTCATCTCAAACAGTAAACAAAGAGAATATTCTTGAGTTAAGAGACGGCCCTCAAATTTAATTTGCCTCGTCCAACTGCTCCATCTTTCAACACATAACCCGCTAGCTGTATTACCTGCACATAGATAAAGTCCTAATTAACTTGTCTAAACAAAGCAAAGCAAACCAATGCATGAAATGAATTCGGATTGGGTGCTCTCCTTTCAGAGCCACAACCAAGATTTTGCCATTCGACAATTTTGTGCTGCTGCCCGAATGATCGATCAAGAACAACAACAACAACATTCACAAAATAGTATAGGTGAGCTGTACACTTATACTAGCACCCCTGATCACTCAGCCTCTTCCCAGGAGGAGCAAGAATTTGTTGATAGCTTCTTCAACATTGATTCTTACGACAAAGATCCTCTTGATCAGCAAGTAAATCTTGATGTTGAGGAGTTTGGAGACTTCACATCAATGATACTCAATGAATACAGTTACAAGAATCTATCAGTGCTGACCGATGAAGAACCAAGGTATACCGTGCTGGAGGCTTGTAGCTCAAGCGATGATCTTATTGGAGCAGAGAAGCCTTTTGACGCGGAAACAATTAGCCATGACCATGTGGAGGCAGAGGTGAATCAGGGGCTTCAGCTTGTACATTTGCTCTTGGCTTGTGCTGAGGCTGTAGGTTGTAGGGACACTCGACTTTCTGATTCATTGCTTACTCAAATCTGGCCTGCAGTCACCCCTTTTGGTGACTCACTCCAAAGGGTCTCCTATTGCTTTGCTTTGGGACTGCAATCCAGACTAACGCTTCTTCAACATAGAAATAATGCAGGTGCAACATTAATACAGGACCAGTTAGCAGCTTTGTCTAGAGTGGAGAAAAGAGAGGCCTATCATTGGTTGAACCAAATCACTCCGTACATGGCTTTTGGTTTCATGGCTGCAAATGATGCTATCTGCAAAGCTTCCAGTGGGAAGGAATGCTTGCATATCATTGATCTTGGCATGCTCCGTATTTTTCAATGGCAATCCTTAATTAGAACATTAACCGCACAACCAGACTCACCTCCTCCAAGACTAGTTCGCATCACAGGCATTCTTGAAGATACTCATGATTTTATGGAACTTGAACTAGGATTGAAGAGCCTTATGGATGAGGTTGCTGCTACTTCTTCAGGCAATATTCGTCTAGAGTTCCAAGTGATCAAGGAGCCAGTATCAGCATCGCTCTTCACTAGGGAAAAGCTTGATGTAAGAGAAGGGGAGGCTTTAATTGTGAACAGCGTCATGCAGTTGCACAAGTATGTGAAAGAGAGCAGAGGATCTCTCAAGACCATTCTTCAAGCCATCAAGAAATTAGGCCCTGCTCTGGTTATTGTGGTGGAACAGGACGCCAATCACAATGGCCCTTTCTTTCTAGGAAGATTCTTGGAATCACTTCACTATTACTCTGCCGTTTTTGATTCGCTTGAAGCTAGCCTCCCACGGGACTCCACCACAAGGATTAAGATAGAGAAGTGTCATTATGCAGAGGAGATTCGAAACATTGTGGCATATGAAGGATCGAATAGGATCGAGAGGCATGAAAGAGCAGACCAGTGGCGCAGGCAACTTGGACGTGCTGGTTTTCAGGTAGTAGGATTGAAGTGTATGAGCCAGGTTCGGATGATGCTTTCAGTCTATGGTTCCGATGGTTATACTCTAGCCAGTGAGAAGGGTTGCCTTCTGCTAGGATGGAAAGGAAGGCCAATAATGTTTGCATCTGCTTGGGAAGTCCACAATGTTGCCTCCTCCTGATATATTAGTGGACAATTCTTGCTGTTGAGTCACCTCATTTGAGAAAATAATACTAACCAACAAGGAGGTTCCTATCATTTCACTGGAATTGAGTATCAGCAGCAATGCTTGCTTTGAATTTTTAGAGCTCGCTATATTACCATTTAACCTGAATTTTTTTGCCCCACAAATTTTGAGTTTTGGTTATTCACTTTCTGATATCCAACTAACAAGATATGATATCCGGTGAGGAATCCTTATTTTTTCTGAAAGCACGACTTTGGCAGTTGGAGACAACATTGACCATAGTCAGACACCCAATCTTTCACAAAGGCCTATAAATTTAAGGCACCAGCCTTTAAGAAGCTTTCTGATAATATTAGATCTTCCAGGTCCGGAAACTTGCAATAAATCAACTACCTCCTTCCTCGGTAGCAGTAGATGAATAAACACTAAAAAAGCAGGGAAATTTCTTCACTGGTCATGGTACTTTTATTGGAGAAAAAAGGGCAGACCGGTGCACAAGGCATCCCGCGTTCACGCAGAGTCCGGGAAGGGCCGCACCCCAAGAGGTGTGATGTAGGCATCCCGCGTTCACATAGGGAACAGGGAAGGGCCGCACCCAAGGGGTGGTACTTTTATTGGAGCAGTAGATGAATATCCAAGGGCACTGATGCAAACCTCAGCAGAAATGCTGCAGTTTCAAAGGAGAACCGAATTGACTGCAAATTTTTCAATTGTGAAATACTATAAATGATTGTCATGCCATGAAGAACTCTCGAACGAACAAAAGACTTCTTTTCTTACTTTTCCCAAACAGGATACACAAATATAAGTTTGCAGTAGCTCTCCCTGATACAAAAGTGATCCTCATTTCTAGAGTAATTGTTTATATAGATGTCTGGGCATAATCTTTGCTGCTCCAATAAAATGAATAAATTTACCACGTAAACAATTGGAAGGTAGACAACTATTAGTTAGATGCCTTGTGACCGGTAGTTTTGGAAGCAGAAGACAATAACCGTAATCGACTAGCAATTTCTGTAAAAGATGGCCTTGATGCAGGATTAGGGGCCCAGCATTGCTCCATCAAGCACCTCCATTCTGGATCACAGTAGCTAGGAATTGTTGGCCTCAGTGTATTGTTAACAATACCTCCTGCATACGAGGAAGAATGTATTAAAATGACTAGCCTGATCAAAATAGCACATCGACAAAAGAACAAAACTGCTGAACAGCACTAGGGGTCAACTTCATAAAAAGGTTCAAACCGGGGTATAAATTGTAAACAAGATTATGCATAAGGAATAATGTAGCAAAATTACTAGCCTGATTAAAATAGCAAATCAACAAAAGAACAAAACTGTTGAATAGCACTAGGGGTCAACGTCATATAAAAGGTTTAAACAATTGTTTTAGGCCCTTGGGAGTCACCAAATAAATTTAAGAACATTGCCCAGATTTGTCAAGATTTGACAGCAATGCATGAAAAGATGCCTAGTTTGATTCAATGAAATTCTCAGAGAAATAATTCTACTACAAAAATCAAACCCTCGTCTTTCTAGTTTCTCTTGAGCCAAGCAAGCACCATGTGTTGCAACCCATCCAAAACACACCATTTTAGGAGGATCCTTAGTCTCCAGATCATCTTAGCAGACTGTTCATCTACTCTGTCTCCCTGAGCTAGCAACATTTGGAGCACGGATGGCTATATTTCTGGGAGCAAACTCTGGGTGAATATGAAGCGCATGGATACAATTTATGCCTTGGAATGGAAGACAATTTCGAATCAGCTTCATCTACGAACATGGAAGCTAGTTATAGGAATTAATAGAGAACTTCCCATCTACTGGCTGTCCGTTGCATTGAGTCCTCCCTATCCTCAATTATCACCACTGAAGTCGATTTTTGCAGCAGAAGGTTAACACCTCCAAATCTCCCAATCATTAGGATGTCTCCTGAACTGCAAGTTCCATCAATTTTCAGAAGAGCAATCAGCAATCCTTGTGTTAACAAGAGAGAACAATTCTGGAAAAAGAACTTTTAGTGTCATATCCTCCACCAATTTTTCACTCCACAGTTTAATCTTTTTTCTGTTGCCCACTTTTAATTAAGTATTTTCATGGAACTCTTTCCATGACCCTCTTATTTTCTTCCATACTGCTACACCATCAGGAGCTAACACTAGATTGGAACACCATCTCCATCCCTTCCATAATTTGAGATTTTCACCTCCATAAATCATTACTATTGTCACTAAATCTCCAAAGCCACTGACACAATAAGCATTTATTGAGAAGTCTTAGAGACTTTACTCCCGTTCCCCTTTCTTTATCTTTGATAACAGTGGACCATTTAACTAAATGTATTTTCCCCTTCCAGAATTTCCTTCCCATAAGAAATCATTCCTCAACTTGTTTCATCTCTTCTCCACCTTTGTTCGGATTGGAATTAGAGATATAATATATGTTCGAATTCCATCCAATACACTATTTATTAAATTCAATCTCCCACCAAATGACAAGTATTGCATTTTCCAAGGTGCCAACTTCTTTCCTCATTTATCAATGAAGCCTTGCCAAACCCCCTGATCTTCTGCTTTGCTCCAAAAGATAGGCCCAAGTATACTGTTGGAAACTGTACCGTGCTCCTCATTGTTTCCGCCACTTATCCAATTTTAACAGAAAATATGCTGCTCTTTCTCTTTGCCAAGTTAACTTTCAATACAAACATTGCTTCAAAAGCCAATGAATCCCTCTTATATATAATAATTGCTCTCTGTTGGGTTTTTTAAAAGGATGGAGCAGCAAAGATTAAAAGTATTGGTTGAAAATGTCTCTCAATAATTTTATTAAGCATAACGAGGCTTTAAATAGCCAAGTAGGAACAAAAAATCCACATAATTTAAAATTCAAAAAATCTAAAATATCTCAACTAACTTAAACAATCTAATAGAAATTTAAAATTGAAAATCATTCTAAGACTAAGCAACTTATTATGCTAAAAAAGTTATTGCAGTAACTGAAAGCAACAAAATTTCAACACTCCTCCTTTGCTTAAGTTGCTGCAATTTAAAAAGTTGCTCCTCCTCAATTCTTGCTTCTGTTATTTGTCCCTAAGGATTATTTTGAGCATCACTGAAATTGCACACTTTTGTTAGTGTAGTTCTTTTTCTTCTTTTCTTCTTTCTTTTTCGTCTTATGGTTTTGTGCATAAAAAACACCCTAGTGACCTTGTCCTATCTGAAATCTCTTTTGAAAGTATTTGATTCTGGACAATGATAGGATTTTCAGGGATTGCTCCTAAGGATTGTTCTTCCATTACAACATTCAATTAATCATAGGTTTTAAGAAATGATTTCGTTTTCACTGAGCAAATCTGATAGTTATCGCCAGTGAAAGTTTGTGGGGCATTCAAAGAGAGACTGATCCTTGCCATGTTTGAAAATGGGTTTAAAAATTGATATTGGTTAAAAATGATTTGAAAATGGTTCTTTGGAAGAACTCACAGATCCCGTAAGACAAATGAAGCTCTTGATACCACTGTTGAGTTTTTTAAAAGGATGGAGCAGCAAAGATTAAAAGTATTGGTTGAAAATATCTCTCAATAATTTTATTAAGCATAACAAGGCTTTAAATAGCCAATTAGGAACAAAAAAATCCACATAATTTAAAATTCAAAGAACCAAAAATATCTCAACTAACTTAAACAATCTAATAGAAATTTAAAATTGAAATTCATCGTAAAACTAAGCAATTTATTATGCTAAAAAAGTTACTGCAGTAACTGAAAGCAACAAAATTTCAACACTCTCTCTCTGCTTCACATAATAGCAAAGTTTCATCTGCATACTACACATTCGAGACTTTTATACTTTTGTGATCTCTGTCTTCTATATTAAAGCCTTTGAGCCATCCATCTGCAACTACTTTCCTCAATATAAGACTTGAGATTTTCATCACCAATACAAACAAAAAAGGAGATAAAGCTTGTCTTAAGCCCCTTTTTGACTTGAGAATCCACTTCCAATTGTGAAAAATAGAAGAAACTTCTCATTGACTTATTCTTATAATCAAGAATCTCTGAGGGCTAGTGGCGCATGGTTCGAAACTCGACAGATAATGGGCCCACTCTTCTCAGAGGCGGATCCGGGATTTGAAGATAGCGGGTGCCATATTTCCATTAATGTACGCCTCGCACTGAGCATAAAGTTTTAATGTGAGTATATATCGGCCGGATTCAATTCGGTTTGATACATTTCGAGTTCATACAGGTCGGTTTAATAAATTTAACGACATTTTCAATAGAAAAATCAACACAATCTTATAAAAATCAAATCAGCACAAGTAAAAATTAGCAATCTTCCTTCAATAAAGGAATCACACTTTTTTTATTAAATATTTTTGCATAAGTGAGTATTTTTAATAGGAGAATCACACTAATCCTATAAGAGCATAAGCAAAAAAAGAAAAAATTTGATATAGAAATTATACATTGCAAGCAATATATTTTCAATAGGACAATTGCACTTCGTATATAAAATATACAAACTAACAGAATTTTGAAAAGAATAATCTTGTGTACTTTTTATTAACACAAGTGACAGAATTTTGAATTAAGAGCCACAGTTTTTATTTATGGAAAAAGAAAAACGAAAAAAGGAAAATGATAGAAAAACAAAGGAAGTAGAAAAGACAAAGACAAAAGGGAAAAAAATAAAAGAAAAGGGAAACTGGGCAAACGAAAAATTGAGTTCCTCATTAGAATCAGACTCAAACCTAAGCATAAACATGAGAATAACTTAAGAAACCAATTCCCAACAAGGCACCTTCCTCTGGTTTGATATTGAGGGTGGCAACGTATGCATTTAACCATATTCTAAAATATTTCAACATATATTTTTAAAAAGTTTGCCAAACTTGCAGGTGGCATGGCACCCCCACCTCTCAAGGTGGATCCGCCACTGACCCTTTTACCTTTCTCCATTTATATACCAGACTCTTTGTCTATGGCATGGTTCGAACCCATGACTTGCGCCTAACCACATATCACATGTCGCGCTTTATTTATTGTTGTTTGAGCCACCTTGCATGCACCTCGACTATTCCACCCGGTACCTCTTATCTCTCACCCTCTGCCCTTCCAGGGTAGGGGTAAGGCTGCGTACATCCTACCCTCCCTAGACCACTTTTGTGGGATTACACTGGGCTGTTGTTATGTAGCTTTATCTCTCACCAGCATAGGTACCGGGTAACTCTGCTCACCAAAACTTAGGCAAATGGGAAATCACCTAGTATTTATTTTTTTTTGTAACTCTGACGCGATTTGCACCTTGGTATCCAAGGGTTTTACTCACTTCATTGACCACTGGGTCACACCCTTAGGTGTTACATCACATGTTGAGCTCTTACCACTAGATCAAAGCACTGGGGACAAAAACTTCTCATTGACATGAGACATGCTCCATATATAGGAGTCATAAGCCTCACAAACTATGGTAGGTAACTAATTTCAACAGTAATAAGGTAAGTAAATATCCTATAACTAAATATAAAATGTTCAAAGGTATCCGAACATTCTTTTTTTAAGTACAATGAATCTAAACATGTATAAATCTAGACATATATTCTCTTGATATTGTAATAGAACTCCTCAAACTCAAAGTGAGAAACCAACTTGAGTTTGTTTATTTTGGAAACATAAAAGTTGAAAGTGAAATCTCACGGGAATAGTGCACAATCACCATAAAGAAAAGCGGTGTTGGAATTTTTTCCCCGAGTTGGTAACTGCACAATGAAAAAAAGTG